CTCATCTGACTTGTTCTTCATAGCTGCCGATGTGACCCTGCTCAGGCTCTGGAATAAACCAACTTAAGTGGATTCTTCCCCAGGTGGAACTTCAGACTGATTAGATGAGGTGATGCTGGGACATCCACATGGGTGCCATGCCTCTGCCAGAAAAAAGTGTGCTTTTCCATCTTTACATTAGAGCATCTATGCTGGTGTTTGTTGAGGGTCCAGAGGCCATCATCATCACTTCCTTTCCCAAGCTTGGCTCTTCAGTCACAGACAACACATGTGTGCAGTAATCTGCAGATGATATACTGTCCAAAATGAGGCAGGGGATTGCTTAAATGGGATGTTACATGGAAACATTTTTCCTCCTCTGAGTCACAGGAAACTCACATTATGAGATTGCAATGAAGTAAATTTGGAATCAAAGACTTAAAAGGGAGAGAGAAGGGGGGAAGGAAGAAGAGAAGGGGGGATAGAGGAAGAGGAGTGGGGAAGAGAAAACAAGGCATGATGGTTATAGCCCTAGAGGCAGGAGAATCAAGAATATGTAGCAAGTTTGAGATTATCCTGTGTAAGACCTATCTTCAAAAGCAAAACAGAAAATAGGAAGGAAGTCTGTGGGGAGCGGAGGAAGTCCTGAATGTGTGCATATCTTTTCTTTCCTTCTTATTCCATGTCTGGCTGGGTAGCTGCCCCCTGGGGTCCTCTCCTTCTTTTCTCACTCCTCCCTCTTATTATTCTCTCTGCCTGGCAGACCCACCTATCCCTCTCTCTGCCTAGCTATTGGCCATTCAGCTCTTTAGTAGACCAGTCAGGTGCTTTAGGCAGACAAAGTAACACAGCTTCACAGAGTTAAACAAATGCAACATAAAAGAATGCAACACATCTTGCATCATTAAATAGATATTCTACAGCATAAATGAATATAATACATCTTAAATTAATATTCCACATTTCCCCCTTTTTGTCTAAATAAAAATGAAAGGTTTTCTGGTGCCAGGGAAACTCCCAGGAATCCACAAGGATGACCTCAGCTAAGACTCTTGGCAATAGTTGAGAGGGTGCCTGAACTGGCCTTCCTCTGTAATCACTTTGGTGACTACCCTAATTGTTATCAGAGAGCCTTTATCCAGTAAAGGATAAGGAGGATCAAGGTCATGACAGGGAAACCCACAGAGACAGCTGACCTGAGCTCATGGGAGCTCATGGACTCTGAACCAACAGTTAGGGGGCCGGCCCTCTGCAGTTGTGTAGCTTGGTCTATATGTAAGGCTCCTAGTAGTAAGATCAGGACCTGTCCCTGATGCTTAGCTAACTTTTGAGAATCTGTTCCCTATGCTAAATTACCTCACCCAGCCTTGATGCAGGGAAAGGACTTTGGTCCTGCCTCAACTTTATGTACTATGCTTTATTCAAGCCTATGGGAAGCCTGCTCCTTTCTGAATAGAGATTGAGGAGGAGTGGATAGGAAGGGAGGTGGGGGGAGGGATCAGGAAGAGAGGAGGGAGGGGAAACAATGGTCGGTATGTACAATAAATGAAAAAAGCTAATTAAATAAAATAAAATAAAAAACAAAAAAATGATGGTTTTAAGTTTAACATAGTAAAATTATATACAACAATAACAGTTATCAAATAAGAATTACAGTTATAATATTCAGTTCATTTGTATTTAGCAAATTCAGAGAAAATACTCCATTATCTATAGTAGTGATTCCAAAAGTTTTATACCTAATTTACTTTCTATCATAACTAAGGAAAACTGTAACTTTAACTTTTTAGTTTTTAACTCCGTCAAAGACTCCAGAAGGATGTAATATTACCTAACAAAAGAGACATTGGGTGCCCTCACAGTCACCAAAGTTCCTCTGCAACACCGGGGCATCCATCTGCAGCCTACAGACTCTTCTGTGAATCAGGAATTTTGAAGGACTGTCCTGCCTTGTATTAGCAACGTTCAGCAGTCACTTTCCTGTGTGTCCTGCATGATATCCAGTTTATACAGCATACCGTCAGCAGTCAAGGTAAAGCAGTTTCTTGCCCAAATGTCTAGCCTTGCCACACCGAAAGTATTCTGCTGGAAACTCCAGCTCACTCCTGCTTGATTTGGAAAGTCCCATTCCTCTCTCTCCAAACACCACTGCTGTGGAGTAATCTTCTTGTACACTGTAAAGTGTACCACTCAAATTGGTTTAATAAAAAGCTGATTGGCTGGTAGCCAGGCAGGAATTATAGTCAGGACAATCAAACTAGGAGAATGATGGGCAGAAGATGGGTGGAGTTAGAGGAGATGCCAACTCTCCTTGAGGAAGCAGGACATGTAGAAAATGAGGTAACAAGCCATGAGCCACATGGCAAAGCATAGATAAGAAATATGGGTTAATTTAATTGTAAGTTAGGTAGTAGCAAGCCTTAGCTATCAGCTGAGCATGTGTAATTTATATTAAGCCTCTAAGTTATTTGGGAAGCAGCTGCTGGTTATTTGGGCACAGGTGGAAGGGACAGAAAAACACCACCTGCAAATGGCACCTACTTATGTCTAGATACACATAAGATCTAAAAAAGCTTTAAAAGGTTCTAAACACACAAAAAAGGATCTAGACACAGCTTCCTAGTCTCACTCTCACACTAGCCACATCTCCCAACAGCTGCCTACGAGATGGAGCCAGCCACCTACCGCCATGAGCTAAGCAGCATTGTGTATTCTCACAGTGTCTCACCTGGGCTGCAGTACAGAGTGGTTTCTCTCAGTCACTGCCTGTGGGCTTAAGAGCTCCACCAGCACACTGCATGGCCATTTTAGGGTTTTTGCTCACACAGATAGAAAAAGTTACAGATATGCAGTAAAGACAGATTCAAATGGGGGGAGGACCTCTTAATGAGTTACAGTGTTTTTCAAAATATACATAGGCATGGGAGAGAAAAGAAAAGGGATAGAAAAAGTCCTTAGAAAAGAAATAGAGTAATAAAAAAAATAATGAGCTACATAAAGATGAGAAATACACAGAAAGTCTGGATCCTGTATGTTAGTGTGTTGTCTTTTAATTTTTTGGCTGCTAGGAGACACTGGATTACAAAAACCAACCTATATATTTTAAAAATATCTTGACTTCAAAATTTAAGTCAAAAGATATGTTACTTTGGGGGAGAGGTTAAATTTTATTAACACAGGAAATGAGAGGCTATGGATTCATTACAGGTTAAGGAAAATCAGGTTTGATCAAGGAAGACCTCCTGAAAAATCTGACTACAAACATTAAAAAAAAAAACTAGAAAAACTACAAGACATGATGTATATTTTACCTGCTCAAACACATGACAAAAAACATCTTTGGCTAACTTGTATACAATGCACAGTCTACTGTTTGTATTAATGGAGATATATGTTGCCTTTAAAAGTTTATGTATTTTCAGAGCAGAGGGACAAGACACCAATGGGAACAGATGGCTCAGGTGATCCAGTATTCAGAACAGTTTCAAGGCTGCTGACCAAGATGATCCAGCCGCACAGAATATGCCAGCCAAGACTTAACAGTTATCCTGATTTTCTCAAGGTTTACCCAAAGATGTAAGCACCCTTAAACAACAGGAAGTAGTCTAGAGAACTAGGCCCACATTCCCAAAAAATGGGTTGTGAATGTTTATTATCATTTGGGGGGGGGGGGCATTGGTTACAAGTCATTATTGATAAAACTCAGGAAAAAGTTAAACAAAGGAGATTAGATTCAAATATCTCTTTCTAAAAGGGAAAGGGAGGATATAGAGATGATCAGATAAAATGGTAGATTATTAAACTGACTTTTAAACCAAAAATGCAACTACTAGTTTTAAATATTTTACATTGGTATGGATCTTTGTATATTGATACAAATTTAAAGTTAATTTTGTTACACTGTATGTATGTTTCTACTCTTGTTTGAGTTATTGTACTTATACAAATCATTTAAAATGTAATATATAGGGACTGGAGTGATGGCTCAGAGGTTAAGAGCACTGGCTGCTCTTTCAGAGGACTTGAGTTTAATTCCCAGCAACCACAAAATGGCTCACAACTATTTATAATGAGATCTGGTGCCCTCTTCTGGCATGCAGGCAGAATACTGTATACATAATAAATAAATCTTTTAAAAATGTACTATATAATTAAAAAATACAGATTAATAGTCATCTATAATAGCCAAACTTATAGTCATGTTAGATATGTTTTCAAGGTCATAAACAGGTATATTTAGATAGATGATCTTCAAACACTTCAAAGACCTACAAAATATGGCATTTAATATGCTTAATAACCTAAGGCTTTTCATGACATTGAGACATGTCTGCTTCTGGCAACACCAATCTACTTCATAGAAAATGATGGGCATCGAGAAAACACTACACGGAGTTTGTTTTCTTTATCGCAAAAGCTAGCCATGTGGGCAAAGAAACTGCCCTTGCCTCAGTTGCTGACAATATACTGTCCAAACTGAACTAGCAGGACACAAGAAAGGTGACTGCTGAACTTTGCCAAGATGTGGAACAGTCCTTTAGAATCCTTTGCTTCACAGGAATGTCTGTCAGATATGCTAGGCCTATGGACTAGAGTTGGATGCCCCAACGTTACAGGAGAACTTGATGATTGTTCAGGTGGCTTGAGGTCCCTGTTATTAGGTAACATTTAATTTTTCTGGGGTCTTTGATGGAGTTGAAGACTAGATAGTTATAGTTTTCTTTTGTTATGATAAAAGATAAATTAGGTACAAAACTTTGGACTCACAAAAATAAGATAAATAGTAGAGTGCTTATTTAATTTTGCCAAATATAAGTGGACTGGATATTGTAACTATAATTCTTAATAACTGTTTTTGTTGTATATAATTTTACTGTATTAAAATTAAAACCTTTTTTAATTAGACAAAAAAGGGGAAATGATATGGAGTAATCCTCTTGTAAACTGTAAATATTTTTCACTTGAATTGGTTTAAGAAAATGCTGATTGGGTCACGGGCATGAGTTTGTAGGCACAGTGGGCCTAGAGAAGCCAACATGCCAGTTGCCAGAAGTTGGGTTTGTCGCAAAACCTATGTGACCCCACGGAGACCCTTGGAGAAATTGGAGAAATTGAGACTTGACCAGGAACTTAAGCTGATCAGAAAATATGGGCTCTGGAACAAATGTGAGGTCTGGAGGGTCGAATTTACCCTAGCTAAGATCCATAAGGCTGCCTGGGAGCTGCTGACACTGGATGAAAAGGACCTACGGCGTCTTTTTGAAGGCAATGCTCTGCTGAGGCAACTTGTTCGCATTGGGGAGCTGGATGAGGGCAAGATGAAGCTGGATTACATCCTGGGCCTGAAGATTGAGGATTTCTTGGAGAGGCGGCTGCAGACCCAGGTCTTTAAGCTGGGTCTGGCTAAATCTATTCACCATGCCCGTGTGCTCATCTGACAGTGTCATATCAGGGTCCACAAGCAGGTGGTAAACATTCCATCCTTCATTGTCCGTCTGGACTCCCAGAAGCACATTGATTTCTCCCTCCGTTCTCCTTATTGTGGCCATCCAGGCCAAGTGAAGAGGAAGAATGCCAAGACGGGCCAGGGTGGTGCTGGAGCTGGTGATAATGAGGAAGAGTTAATGCCTCCCTGGACTGGAGGATTGTGTAGTTTTCTGATTGACTAATAAAGCAGAATTAACACTTGAAAAAAAAAACTGCTGATCGGCTGGTAACCAGGCAGAAATTATTGGTGGGACAACCAAACTAGGAGAATGATGGGAAGAAGAAGGGTGGAGTCAGAGGAGATACCAGCCAGCCCTGAGGATGCAGGACATGTAGAAAATGAGGTAACAAGCCATGAGCCACTTGACAAAGCATAGATAAGAAATATGGGTTAATTTAAATGTAATAGTTAGGTAATAATAAGCCTGAGCTATTGGCAGAGCACTTACAGTTTATATTAAGTCTCTAAGTCAGTTATTTGGGAAGCAGCTGCTGATTATTTGGGAACAGGCTACCAGGACAGAAAAACTCTGCCTACACCCCACCCTCTCAGAGACTCTCCAACAAAGAAAAGGTGCCAAAAAGTTCAGGTCAGCATTCTTGGTGGCTGCAGCAGCTCCTCCCCTGAATCTGCTAGCAACCCAAGATCCCGCCTAAAGTGGTCAGCTTTTGACCATACTTGGGCACAAACCCAGCTTGTGGAGGACACATCATCATTCCTCACCTACAGGGTATGTAAGCTCCCTGCTTTAGTTCAGGTTTGTGATTTCTCCAGCCCCAGTCTCTGGGACTGGAGGACTCACCCAAGAGCAGCTTTGCTCAAATAAATCTGTTCTTTTACTTTTTCAATTCAACTTGTTCTGGAAACCTATCATTGTGTTACAGAAAACCTATTAGAAAGCCAAATCCATACGGAGTTTTTTTTTTTTTAATGCCCATCAGCCTTTTATGAAGTAGATTGGTGCTGTGAGAAGCATACATGTCTCACTGTCATGAAAAGCCCTATATTAACAAAACATTTTAAATGTCATATTCTATACATGTTTGAAGATCATTTATCTATCTAAAATATTCCTGTTTAGTCTTGAATACATACCTAATGTGATTACAAGTTTGATTATTACAGAGTAACAAACCTCATTTCTTAGTTATACATTGCTTCTATTTTGGTTTTTTTGAGGCAAGGTTTCTCTGTGTAGCTTTGGAGTCTGTCCTGGAACTTGTTCTGTAGACCAGACTGGCCTCAAACTCACAGAGATCTGCCTGCCTCTGTCTCCTGAGTACTGGGATTAAAGATGTACATGAACCACTGCTCATCTTACATTGCATTTTTAAATGAGCTACATAAATAAGCACTATACCCCAAACAAGATACCAAAATCAATGCCAATGCAAAATATCTGAGATTAATAGCTGTCTTTTTATCCTGTATTCCTATATGCCCCTAAATGATAACAAACATCCATAACCCACCAAATAACCAACAACCACCCACCCCATCTCTTGTTCTCCAGACTGCTTCCTGTTGTCTCTGGGTGAAGACATATTTAAGGGTCCCTGAGAAAATTGAGACAATGGCCACATCCTGGGAAGACCACCTGTAACCTTTGTTAATACATATCACCTGTCAAGGCTCAGGAGGTCTCCCCTGAGGAAACCTGATCCATATTAATCTTAAAAAAAAAATCCACAGCCTTTCGTTTCCTGTGGAAACAAAAGCATTACCTTTTACCCAAAGCAATACATTTTTTGAGTTCCACTTTAAAGTTAAGGCATCCCTAAAATATCTAGGCTGGTTTATTTCAGCAGTCCCTCTTTCAATCCCATGTCTCCAAGCAGCTGTTGTTTGCTTATCAGCAATCAATTCAAAAATTAACACAATAACATATAGGATCCAGACTCCCTGTATATTTCCCAACTTACATGGCTTTTTTTTTATATTACTTATACTATCTCTTTAAATATTTTACTTTAATATTTTTAACTATTTTTTATATGACTGTCTATATTCTTTCTCTTTTCTTTCTTAAGCCTACACACATTGTTAAACACACTAGAACCTGTTTAGAGATTTTTTTTCTGTCTGGATTTGCTTTTACTGTGAATCTCTAGTCTTTTTTTGTCTGCATGAGCAAACAGCAGCTAAACAACATGGCTTCGGTGGCTGTCTCCGCCCAGTCCTCAGGTCATGAAAGCCAAGCCTAAAGCTCATGGCCTGGTCAAGATGCATGACTGGGAACTGCATTCAATTCCCCAAGTCTGGAGTGCCAGTGCCCAGCACTGTTGCAGGCATTTTAGTTTTTTGTTTCTATTTAGCCTTAAAAAAAAAAAAAGGCTGTGTAAGTGTTCCACTGTACAGCAGAACTTCTTAATGGAGCTGTGTCTGGTTGGTTTATTTGTTTGTTTAAGCTTTCTCAGGCCCTATGGAAATTTGAGCCCCATTTAGGGTGCCAAAATGTAGTTGATTTTTTTTAACCTCTTTTTTCTTTAGGGATCAGCTCCCAAATCACACAGAGACTCTTACTTATGAATGCCTGGCCTTATCTTGACTTGTTTCTAGCCAGCTTTTCTTAAATTATTCCATCTACCTTTTGCCTCTGGGCTTTTACCTATCTCTATTTCTGTATATCTTTTCTTTCCTTCTTATTCTGACTGCTGTGTGGCTGTGTGGCTGGCCCCCAGCAATCTCCTCTCCTCCTCCTTTTCTCATTTCTCCCTCCTCTTTCTTCTTCTATTTATTCTCTCTGCCTGAGGCCCACCAATCCCTCTCCTGCCTAGCTATTAGCCGTTCAGCTCTTTATTAGACCAATCAGGTATTTTAGGCAGACAAAGTAACACAGCTTCACAGAGTTAAACAAATGCAACATAAAAGAATGCAACACATCTTTGCATAATTAAACAAGCATCCCACAGCATAAATGAATTAATACATCTTAAGTTAATATTGCACAACACATAAATAAAAATAAATCTTCAAAATTAAGGCATGGCTGTGTACACCAGTTACTCCAGCACTGGGGATAGAGAAAGGCAGTTCTCAGAGGCTTGCCAGCCAGCCAAAATCCTGTGTTCCAGATTCAGTGAAACCTTATTTGAAAGAAGAAAGAAAGAAAGAAAGAAAGAAAGAAAGAAAGAAAGAAAGAAAGAAAGAAGGAAGGAAGGAAGGAAGGAAGGAAGGAAGGAAGGAAGGAAGGAAAGAAAGAAAGAAAGAAAGAAAGAAAGAAAGAAAGAAAGAAAGAAAGAAAGAAAGAAAGAAAGAAAGAAGGAAAGAAAGCCAAAGATGTCACAGTGGGTAAAATGGCTTGCTGCATAAGCCTGATGACCTGAGTACATTTCCCCCAACCCACATAAAGGTGGGAAGAGAGGACCAACTTCACAAAGGTGACCTCTGGCCTCTATACAAATGCTGTGGCACACATGCTACACACACATTAGTAAGTAAAATTACATCTTAATTTATAAAGTGGAGAAGTGATTGGAGAAGATACCTGATATTTTTCTTGCTTCCACACATGCACTCACAGGTAAGTACAGCTCCACACACATGCACATACCACACAAACACACATAGACCTAAAGGTAAAGCTAAAATGGTCCCAAATGTACAGGAAAATACAGTAGAAAAGATCTGCAACCTTGGTGTGCTGCAGTCCTGAGATGGGGGAGGGGCGTTGGCACAAGAATTGTCTGACCACCAGATGAGTTTCACACAAGCAGCTGCCCCTGAATAGCTTGAGCCTCTTTATTTATACTTCAAAAACAAGCACTTTTTCCCACCCTCCAGGATTAACCTCCAGAAAAAAAACAAATAAGTTTTTTTTCCCAACTTTTACATCAAAACAACTTTTAAACCAAAAACAATGTTCAGCATTTTGTTAGCTTGGCTAATTATTGAGCCAGACATATCCTGTCCTTACAAAGCTAAAAGTTTATAAACATAGGCACACATTCTCAAGAACAAGAATATTGTTCAAAACTTAACAAAGCATATTTACAGAAATAGGAGTGATTTACCATAAACTACATGTATGAAATTAGCTTGTATTTTTCCAACTGTTCCCTTGTCCTACAAAAGGGCCCTGTATGCCTAAGTGTCTCTGTAAAGGGCAAACTTTGATAAGGCACTCTTTTTCCATCTTAATGGTTTTTTCCCAGAATTAGGAGACACAGTTAACGTCCCCTGTGCTGCTTCCTCATATGTGCCCACTACTCTTTTATTGCCTCTGATGCTATCAGCACTGAATCGAATGGGATTCCAGGGTCTGGAGTAACAACTGGTATTTCCAGATTAGAAACCTGAGAAGCATCAGTTCCCAAAGAATTTTAGGAGAAAATATTGGAGAAAAAAATGAAGTTTCTAGAAATGATCACATCTGTTCCATGCATGACTGTCAAAGTGAAACTGTAAACCACCAAGAGAACCGATATAAGAGAAGGGAGAGTGCAGGCTGAGGTCTCAGCAGCATCCTGCACTGTCCCATGGTCCACTGGTCCTTGCTGAGCGAGAGAGACTGTCTCCATGGGCTTTGCCTCTTCTGTTGGACAATATTCATATGCTAATCCAAAATTAGACTATATTACTCCCAACCTTCATGAGCAATATTTTTCTTTTTTCTTATTTGGTGGGGTTGGAGTTGTGGTTGAACTCAAGACCTCATATATACAGACCCCTTTCACTTAGCTACACACCCCACTCCGGGGTGTTGCAAGATATTTGATTATATTGTGTAAATATATGTCACTGTGATTGGTTTAATAAAAAGCTGAATGACCAATAGCTAGGCAGGAGGTGTAGGTAGGGTTTCCAGGGAAAGAAAGGAAGAAGAGGAAGAATCTAGGCACAGGAGATGCCAGGAGAAACAGAGAGGACTCTGGGAAGAAGAAAGACAGGAGATGTCAGGAGATATGGAAAGGAAGCAGGAGGTGCAAGATGGACGGGAGGTAAAAAGCCACAGGTCAGAATGTAGACTTGTATGTAGTGAGTGGTGTTTGCTCCACCCATGACCCCGGGCTATACCGCCCAAAGGAGGTGGTGCTTCCTGCCATTGCATGTGACCTCTGAAAAGGAGCTGGAGACAGTCACATGCCCCTTCTCCCTGCTCCTGCCTGTGAGGTGGATTCCTACCAGTTAGATTAGAGGACCACTTCTGCTGTCTACTCTGTTCTGTAATCGTGAGTGTATTTCCTCAAATTATATCTTAATAAATTCTGTTACCCATTTAATAGTTCACATGGATTGATTTTAATAAATGGTGCCTAGATGTGGTGGCAAGAGTTTCCACCTAAAACCTGAGAGAGCTTAAGAAGAGATTATAAATGTAGTTAGGAGCACCTTCCTAGTTCATGTTGCTCATAGTGGGCTGAGGTACAGTGACATGTGAAAGGATGAATAGCACTGGTGGATCGGTGGAAGAGTCATGGCCACAGCAGAACCCAATATTGGTTTTTAGAGCTTTAATGGAGGGAAAGGCAGGGGGAGGAGCCAGGCCTGGCAGAGGGAACAGAGCAGGGACAGAGAGAGGAAACACAGGAAGAGAAGCACAGAGAGAGTGGGGGGCGGGCGGTGCATGTCCGGCTTTAAGGCTGGGACGCAGTCACCTGCTGATGGCGTAAGGCCCCAGACAAGACCACAAGCTGCACATGTACGGAATCCTAACATTCCAAACTTTTGCTTATTATAAAAACCAAGTAAATAGGAATAGGGGCGTCGTTTCTCCCAGAAAAACTGCTTCCAGCTGACTTGGTGGGCATTGGTTGGCTCTTAGGGGGAATAGGAAGGGGGTCTTCAGAGGTAGACAGGTGTTGTGGGATGGTGGGCTGTCCATTGTCATCCTTTACTCTGGAGCTGTTTATCCCTCCTGGCTGGGCACCCTGGTCACTTTTGTGTCTGACAGGATGCTGGTGAGACAGGAAAAGCCTGAAGTAGATCCGACCTGTCCAGATGGATTTAAGCTGGTTTCTGGAGCTGGAAAAAAATTTGAACATGTTAAGAAGCAGCCATGAGAAAATTAGTGACCATTTGTGGTGTTTAGCACTCTGCTTGTATTTGGTTAGTGTTAATGAGAGAGACAGAGAGATTGGAACACGCTTTATCAGAGAAAGATTAGTTTAAGGCATCTGTTTTCTTTACTAATTTAGCATCCAGGAGACACAGGTGATCAATTGTTGAGAGCATTTAACAGTAATAGATGTTTATATTAAAGTCTGTTTTGTAGAACCCAGACACTTTTGGGTCTGGGGGTGTAAATGTCTTTTAGCTGTTACAGTTTCTTACTTGATGATCTCTGGACTCCGGTTCTGTGGTGGTCCTGTACCATTAGCTAAGCAGTGAGTTAGAACAGGGAACTGGGAAGAGAAAAGCTTGTGGTGCATGAGAATTTATTTCTTTGGAATTAGGGACAAGGCAGAGATCAGGGCCCTGTAACCACAGGTGGGTGGGTCTGGAGTGAGGCACATGGAAGGGAGCAATGAAATGAAAGCTCCTACCTTAGCTGGAAAACCTTTTCCCATTTAAGTAACCCTGAAAGGACAATTAAGTCTGGTGAGGTGCGTAAGGCTGCCCTCCCTAACCTGACAATAGGGAAACGAGGAGAGGTGACATCCCCAAACTCCCAGGACCAGGTCAGTGGCTCTGGTGTCCAGAGGGAAAGAAATGGATCACTTCCCTGCTGCGTTCTGGGTTCCCTGCCATGTCTGTAGCCAAGCCTAGGTCTGCTGGAGGTCTTAGCTTGATGTACCCATGCATCTTGGTGCCTGGGGCCAGTCAGCTGACTCGTTGTCTTTCTAGGTGGCACTTTCAACAAGGCTGTTGATGGCCTGGCCGGGCATTCGCTAGCCCATGGCTTTTTTTCTCACTTAGAACAGGGACCCAACAGCTTTTGGGAGCCAGAGAGTACCAGCACTTGGCAATTTTGTTCTCGGGCTTTTTATCTCTTCCCTGGTACACCTTGAATGCCATAGATGACTCCTTTGCCTGTGAGGTCAGAAGCCTTGCTCTCCAGATGGTTAAGTTTTAGTCGGGGAGGTCTGGGGAACAAGAGATGGATTTTACTCCATGTCTTGAATTTTTTTTTCCTTGATGTTTACTGGCTTGAGGACAGCTTTTTTGCCTGAGGGCAGGCTATAAACTGATCTCTGGCTCAAGAGCCATCCTGACTATTAGAAGCTTATTTGCATGGATCCTAGCCGGCTTCCAGACCTGTCTGTGCCTCTCACTGCAGCTTTAGAATGAGTGGGAGGAGTTAAGGTGAGTTAAAGTGAGCCAGCAGAAGCGGCCCACACAACAGTACAGAGCCTGCCCACTCGTTTAGAAGTTGAGGTGGGGTGGGTTAAAGCCTACCCAATGCCAGAGAGCAGAAAGCAGAAGTCAGATAGAAAGAAGTGGTTGCATGTGGCAGAGAAAACATCAGAAATGGGGAGGGAGAAGGGTTCAGAGTTTTAGCAGAAAGCTGAGGGATAAAGTAACTCTTTTTATTTGCCCATTTGCTGGAAGAAGTTCCCGCAAAGCTGTTATGTGGCCAAATTTACTGGTATCCACCAATTTTACTGGTATCTACCCCTTTATCCCATGGCTGCAGCCAAGAGAGAAAAAATAAAAAATTAAAATAACAAACCAGGATGCTAGGCTACTATCCCAAGCATCCCTGAGGTAGAGGAAGGATCTATGAATCAGCACAAGTTTACCCCCCCCCACCCCCTGCATCGACAAGGGAGGGATAAGGGCTGGGAGCATAGGCAGCACGTGGACTACCCGGTGGCCCAACAGCATTGACCTCCTCGTCAGGAGAGAAAATGTGTCGAGGACCACCCCGGGGGGTCCGGCACGCGAGGAATATAGGTCAGGCTGCAGCCTCAGGAAATAGGACTCACCAATCGCATGTGCGCTGGAGACACGGCAGTGGGAGCCGTGGCGGCAGGTCCAGCAGCTGGGAAAAGCAGATCTGGCGATTGCCAGGCAATCACAGGTCCTCAGGTAGGCTTCTGGCATTCAGCCTCGGACACAGAGTGTGCAGAATTTCCTATCCAAGTCATGACACCAATGAAAAGATGAATGGTGCTGGTGGGTTGGTGGAGAGCCATGGCCACGGCAGAACCCAATATTAGTTTTTAAAGCTTTAATGGAGGGAAAGGCAGGGGGAGGAGCCAGGCCTGGCAGAGGGAACAGAGCAGGGACAGAGAGAGGAAACACAGGAAAGAGAAGTGCAGAGAGAGAGCTTTAAGGCTGGGGCACAGTCACCTGCTGATGACATAAGGCGCCAGACAAGACCCTGAGCTGTACATGTACAGAATCCTAACAACATGTGCCCTGGCTGTAGCAGGTTCATGGAGAGCGGGTTGGAGCTACAGAGGTTTCTCCAAGCCATGCAGTGCACTGTGTGGTGGATTTAGCTCTTGTTAGTACAGACAAAAAAGATGGCTTCTGGGCTACATGCTGCTTTGATGGAGGTGTAGACCCACTGCTTCCAAGAGTTGGTGGTATGCATGGCCCCCAGAGCTGGCGGTAAATTGGGAAGCTGAAGTGAGAGTCAGCAGCCAAGGCTTCCACTTTAGTACTAGCCACTGCAGTTTAAAACAATGGATTCACAATAAGACAGATTCAGATGGAATAAGAATTTAAATGGTTTACAGTGTGTGTAAAAATGTATGTAGGCTTGGAAGAGAAAAGAAAATGAATATAGACAGTTATATAATGAAATAGTTTTAAAAAACGAAGTCTTTAAAGGGACAGTAAAGGTAATATAAAAAATAAGGCACATAAAGATAGATATTACACAGAGAATCTGGATTGTATTGTCTTTGAGATTTTTTTTTTGTGTGTGTGGGTGTTCAAGACAGGGTTTCTCTGTGTAGTTTTGGTGCCTGTCCTGGATCTTACTCGGTAGACCAAGGTGGCCTCCAACTCACAGAGATCCACCTGGCTCTGCCTCCCAAGTGCTGGGATTAGAGGCATGTGCTACCACTGCCTGGCATCTCTGGGATTTTTTAACTACAGAAACACATTTGATTGTAAAGGCTACTGAGTTAAACCAATATGTATAATTTAAAGTTATCTTGACTTCAAAATTTGTCTCTAAGGATATGTTGCTTTGAAAAAGAGGTTCTGCTTTTATTTCCACAGATGAGAACCTATGGATTGCTTCTAGGCTAATATGGTTTGATCAGCCAAGATTCCCCTAAAAGGTCTCCCTTGACACCATGGCCCAGATGATCCAACATCCACTACTCTAATTGCTCTAACAGCTGGACCCAGCCCCTAACCTACAGAGTAAAAAGCCCAAGCTCCGGACTTGAAATCCCACCAATCCCCACCCTGGAAAGCTTCATCCTGAAAAGTTCCACCCTCCTCCCCAGGAAACTCTATATAAACCCTGGCTTCTGCTCAGTTCTCTGCTGTTTCTCACTCAAACAGAGGCAGCCACCCTCCTGATTTTTTCCATCCTAATAAATCTCTTATGTGAGATTTGCTGTGTGGTATGACTTAGTGGTATTCCTTGACTCCAAACTGCCAGGATATCTTTCCATCTGAACTGTACTGCTTACATTTGGTGCAGAAACCGGGATCAGCTCTCCTGGTGCCTGCATTTCCCCTCAGAGGCCTCAGCTGCTCTGGGACCCTCACGCTCATTGCCAGTCCACCTGCAACAGACTCATTGTACTTGTGCTTTCTCATTGGGACCACCAGCCTGCAAATAATGTCATGGAGACCTATTAATTATAAAAGCTTGGCCTTAGCTTAGGCTTTTAAAACTAGCTCTTATAACTTAATTAACCCATATTTTTAAATCTATGTTCTGCTGCATGGTTTCTTATCTCATCTCCCTACTGCACATCCTGTTCTCCCTCCATGTCTTGCTAGTAACTCTGCCTTTCTTCTTCCCAGAGTTCTCTCTGTCCCTGGAAATCCTGCTTAACCTCTTCCTGCTTACCTATTGGACATTTAGCTCTTTTTTAAACCAATCAGAAGGTGCCTTGGCAAAGACACATCTTCACAGTGTAAACAAATATTCTGCAACAACTCACCTTCCTGCTTACTGATCACTCACCCTATCCACCAGTAGAACTTGGGTAAGTTTTCCCCTTGATCAGTATAAACATTTCCCTGAGTCTGAGGAAGTGACTGTTGAATGTATGGTACCCCTCGAGACAGAGGTACCCCCAGCCACTGTCTTTAAGGCTACAACTGGCCCTCTTCACTAGACCCCATCCCCTCTGCCCTTGGAGCTGCAATCCTGCAGTTTCCTTAACCCAGCAGGGCTTAGGCCTCTTCCTGCCCTCTTCTCCCATCTGTCCTTCAGAGTTGCCTGTAATCCCACAGTTCCTCTAGGCCCTTGTGACTTTTGTGACTCAGTTCTCCAACCATTTCCTGTGGATGAGAACCCCTATAGAGCTAGGTTTTGGTCCTCACTTCCTGGCATCTATGAAAGCCCTGGTACCAGGCACAAGTCTCTCCTCTGGATTGTATTGTCTTTGAGATTTTTTGTTAAGGTTAAGCCCCTGACCCCCATTGAGTGTGGTGATGACCCACCAAATGACTTGGTCCTTGTTCTGTCCTTCCTGAGTTCTGGGTCACCTACAACTACAGACTGCAGTGACATTTTCTCTCCTCCACCACATCCATGGGTACATGTCTTTCATACCCTCCCATTCCCCTTGGAATGCCTCTTAGAAAACCTCCAGCCTCTCCACCTGACACTGACCTGAAGGGCCCTAAAGTTATTTGCTTTTGCAATCAAATCTGTCCTCAATATCCCTTAGATAATCAATACAAAGGGCCCCCTAATGGCACCCTAGATCCTAGTATGATACAGGACCTTTACAAATACAGTGAAGGATCAGGAAAATGGAAAGAGATTCTCTATGTTCAAGCTTTCCTCCACTCCAAACCTTGTCTCTGTACTTACTGTTACCCCACTGTTACACTTTTACACTGTTACACTTTTACACTGTTACACTTTTACACTGTTACACTTTTACAGTTACACTTTTACACTGTTACACTTTTACACTGTTACACTTTTAGCTGTGAAGTCTGAACAAGATGATTCTTCCATTACCTTTGATCCAGCTAAAGAGCTCCCCCCACTGACCAAACCCCACAGCTCCCCTCCTTTTCCAGCCCCTCCAGTTTCCCTTTCTCCCTCAGTGACAGGTTGCCCACATGAACTCTCACTGGCACCCACTTTCAGCCCACAGACATCCACTGTTCCTCCCGCTACTCACTCCCTTTCTGCCATTGAATCCCTTCTACCTCCCCCTATCCAACTTAAAGCAGCCTCACTTCTCCCTGTGCAAGAGGTTGCCAGGATGGATGGCTTGGTCAGCATATACATCCTCTTCTCATTAACTGAACTCTCTCAAATAGAAAAAAGATTGGGGCTCTATACTGCCAATTCTTCCACCTTTATTAAAGAATTCCAGTGCATTATCTGTCTATTGCTGTGAAGAGACATCATGACTATGGCAACTCTTATAAAGGAAATTGGGATGACTTACATTTGCAGAGGTTCAGTCCATTATCATGCTGTGCAGACATGGTGCAGGAGAAGTAGCCAAATGTCCTACATCTTGACTTGTAGGCAACAGGAAGTGGTCTGAAACACTGGGTGTGGCTTGAACATATATGAGATCTCAAAGCCCGACATCACGGTGACACACTAGACCACACCTATTCCAAAAGGCCACACTTCCCAATAGTGCCACTCCCTTTGGGGGGCATTTTCTTTCAAACCACCACATTCCAGTCCATGGTTCCCAAAAGCCTATAGCCATATCATAAAGCAAAAATGCAATCAGTCCAACTTCAAACGTCCCCATAGTCTATAACAGTCTCAAGCTTATTTAAAAGTCTAAAGTCCAAAGTCTCTTCTGAGATTCATGTGATCTCTTAACTGTAATCCCCTATAAAATCAAAATCAAAGAGCTTATCACATACTTCCAACATATAATGGCACAGGATATACATTACCATTCCAAAAAGTAGGGAAGGGAGCATAGTGAGGAAATACTGGACCAAAGCAAGACTGAAAACAAGCTAGGCAAACAAACTCCAAACTCTGCATCTCCATGTCTGATGTCAAAATGTTCTTCAGATCTCCAACTCCTTTCAGCTCTGTTGACTGCAACACACTTCTTTCTCTTGGGCTGGTTCCACTCCCTGTTAGCAGCTTTCCTCAGTAAGTATCCCACGGCTCTGGCATCAACATCTTGGGGTCTCCAAGGCAATCCAGGCTTCAACTTCACAGCTTGATGAAATGGTCTCTCTGGTCCTCCATTCAGGGATCCCCCTGACACATGCCTGGCCTCGGCAGCTTGCCTTAGTTGAGGAAGCAAATTCTACAGCCCCTTTCTTCTATGCTTGACTCTAAATCCAGAACCATGTGGCTGAAGCTGCCGAACTCTGCTGCTTGCTGGAACTGGAACATGACCCCTTGTTCAATTACATCTTCACCAACTTTCTGTTTGCCATGGTTTCCCTCACTGCCTGAGCTTCATTGTTCTGGAACTCGCTCTGTAGACCAAGTAGGCCTCAACTCAGAGATCTGCCAGCCTCTGCCTTCTTGGTGCTGGGATTAAAGCTCTTCCCCACCACAACTGGATCTAAGCTTTTCTTTAATTCTTTTCATAAGTTGGAAGCTTAGCTGGGTGAGGTTATCTTGCTTTTAGGTGACTATTTCTTGATCTGTTTATCTCCTTGAACACAGGATTTAGTGCTATTCTGCTTTCTGGTGCCCCTTTTCTTTTTGTTTTTGCTTTTTAATTTTTTTTTTCAGGACAGGGTTTCTCCGTGTAGCTTTGCGCCTTTCCTGGAACTCACTTTGTAGCCCAGGCTGGCCTCGAACTCACAGAGATCTGCCTGCCTCTGCCTCCCGAGTGCTGGGATTAAAGGCGTGCGCCACCACTACCCGGCTACATTTTGTATTTTTATTAACTTGGTTTGCTCTTTTCATTATAACTTTTCATCAGAGTTAACACTAATAACCAGACAGAGTCTATACTAGGCTGCTTTGAGATTTCCTCTGCCAATGGAAATCATTACTTTACTTTAGCCTCAGGGAGACTCTTCAGATAAGGGCAAAAAGCAGCCTCATTCTTCACCAAAATAACACAAGACCCCCCTAGACCACATACTAACATTCTTCTCCTCTGAAACCTCTTGATCAAGACAGTTCAAATCACACTCAGCACCACTGTCTGTTCAACTGTTTTTCTAACCCATAGTCCCAAGGTCCACATTCCTTCAAATAAAAACATAATCCAGGCTATCACAGCAATATCCATCCCTGGTACCAACTTCTGTCTTACTGAAGGTTTCTGCTGCTGTGAAAAGATACTATGACCACGACAACTCTTATAAAGGAAAACATTTAATGAGATGGTAATCCTTTATCTTCATGGTGGGGATGATGACATCCACCCAGTTGAGGCTAGGGCAGTTCCCAACCAGGACCCTAAATGGGATTAAAATACCTCAGGGGACATCCTAGCTAGGAATCAATTTATAGCTTGCCTCCTGGTTGGTCTCCACAGGGTTACCCTTAAGGTGGCAAATCCAGGAAAGACATGAAGAGCCATTAATTCCTCAGCCACTTCACAAAGGCCTTTTTTTTTTTTTTTTTTTTTTGGTTTTTCGAAACAGGGTTTCTCTGTGTAGCTTTGCACCTTTCCTGGAACTCGCTTTGGAGACCAGGCTGGCCTCGAACTCACGGAGATCCGCCTGCCTCTGCCTCCCGAGTGCTGGGATTAAAGGCGTGCGCCACCACTGCCTGGCAACAAAGGCCTTCTTGCAATGTACCAACCTGGATCCTGAGAACCCAGATGGAAAGCCACTTCCGATGATCTACTCCTCCCAGAGTTTTCCTGGCATCTAGAAAAGGGACCCCTGACTCTACAGGAGGAAGACTTAGCTGTGGCCTTCAAGGTGTATCATGGGAGAAATGAAAAAAAAACCCGAAAACAAATATACCTACTGATGGCTAAGGCCTCTCAGCCGGCCAAAGCAGAAGCCCAGGCTCCCTGGCCTCCCAAAGGAAGAGAACCTCCAGGTCCCTGTTTCAAATGTGGTCAGGAAGGTCACTGGGTCTGGGCCTGTTTGAACCCTTATAAACCATCTAGACTCTAGTAGTTAAAAAAAAAAATTGTCCCCCAAAGGGAGTGGCACTATTGGGAAGTGTGGCCTATTGGAGTAGGCGTGGTCTTGTTGGAGGAAGTGTGTCACCGTGATGGCAGGCTTTGAGGTCTCACATATGCTCAAGCCACACCCAGTGTTTCAGACCACTTCCTGTTGCCTGCAAGTCAAGATGTAGGACATTTGGCTATTTCTCCTGCACCATGTCTGCCTGCACACCATGTCACAGCATGATAATGGACTGAACCTCTGCAAATGTAAGACATCCCAATTTTCTTTATGAGTTGTCATAGTCATGGTGTCTCTTCACAGCAACAGAAACCCTAAGACGTGGACCATGTCCAAGGTGCCATCAAGAAGGACATTGAAGTGTTGACTACCCTCATGTTCCTTGTGGCATGAGGCATCAAGCTCAGATCACCCTTCAGCTGACCTCCTTGGTCTGACCTGATTGAGGGGGTCTGGGCTCACTTGGCCTGACCACCGCCATCTGTGACAGGGAGCCTTGGGTAGTCATCACAGTATCAGTTTGATCTTTCTCCATCCCTCTGAATACTG